GAATTTCTTTTATAAATTGTTTTTCTTTGGAAAAATTAGATTGATTACAAATTATTTTTGCTCTATCATATAGACTTTTTACGATACCTTTTTTATCCATTATCGGGTGATTTGAGTCGAAATTCAAATATCGGTTAGTATGAGTAGGTTTTCTATAGACCAAGGCTTCGAAATTGTCTAACTTTTTCTGAATTAGTATATCGAGAAAAGGAGTTTGGTGATTTTGTTCTTTTTCAATAGTCAATTTAATTGTTGGTTCTTTATTATTCAGATAAGAGGCAAATTCATCAAGTTTTTGTTTGCCATGACTGTAAATGGAGAATACGTCATCAATATAACGCCACCAAATTATTGGTTTAAATTTGTAATTATTAATGAAAGTTGATTCAAAATTTTCCATAAATAAATTACTGAAAAATGGGGATAGTGGTTACCCCATAGCCAGTCCAAAATTTTGTTGATAAAAATTGTGAGGAAATTCTGTCTTTTTTGAAGACAAACATTTTTGAGGCGAAATTCCCAACAAGAAGTTTGTAAAAAAATATTAAGGCACCGCTACCCAGGTAGCACACTACGTTTTATGGACGTCTAAACGACGACATGAGATTCGGCCAGAAGACGTCAGATAGGTCATTTGGACGTCCAAATGACACATTTGCCAGATGTCTGTTTAATGACGTAGGCTAGACGTCTGCTTATTGACGTCACTTAAACGTCGGTTTTAGGTCTGTACATGGTCAGTACAATTACTTCATATTGAGGAAATGTTTTGGTTACAATAAGACACTATAGATCTTAAATCGTATTTTATTGACATGAAGCAAGCAAAGAGGGTTTGTAACCCTATTACCTATACCTTACCACCCTATTTTAATTAATTAAAAATAAGTTTACAATTTTGCGCCAAAAATGTTTACATCGTTTAAAAGTGGTATGGAAAAAATCTTTGACTATCTGATTTTTTTGGGAATTACTAGACATTTCGCCCTTATTACCGACCAATTCCATTTTTCGTAATCTTTTGACAAACCTTCTATTTGATAGTATATACATAAATCTTTTGAATGTAAAGGATAACTGTAAAGGGAATTATAAGAATGAAACTTTTTTGCTACAATAAAATACATGTTATCAAATGAACAAATGTTATGGATCTCCAAAACTAAACCACTTTTTGGCAAGCAATGCAAATTAGCTCTAGAATAAGAATAAATACTTAAACTAAATTTGTTTCTAAATATATTTTTATATTGTTTTTCAACAAATCCTATTACTGGACCAATGTTATGCTCTTAAAAGCTATATACACTTATAAGTGTACAAATGTAACATTTTTAACTTGTGATTTTTTCAAAGCTGAATTAAAAATATCGCTGAAATAAAGTGCTACTATGTAGTTAAACATTAACTACAAGATGACATAAAATTTTTTATAATTTGGAATGAAGATAAAAGAAACATACAGTTAATGCACACGAGGGACAAATGTGACAATGGCGATTTTGCCAAATAGTGCTCTTAGATGTGGAACAAGTAAAACCGAGCGAACCCTATAATCCTGGATCTAAACGAGATTTTCATTAACTGTTCCAGTGTTTCGCGTCAACCGCGTTCCACCGGGATTCAGTAATTAAATCGTTCCAACCACCCCCTTTCCGTTCTACGCCCTTATATTTACTGGATTTACTAAGGCGCTTTGTGGTCTGGATTACTCCAGCTAGTGAATAGACGGTTTTATGTAATAACTAATTAGTTTGCCTGAAGGAGATAGACGGTGAAACTTTGGATACATTTGGATTTAGTTCGACGATTTTTCGTTGCGCATTGATTGAATCAGATTAGATTCTCTTTACCGTTTATTCTACCTGTTTGACTATCAACCGCAATTTTTCTTCGTTTCCGCGACTTTTTTGTCAATTACTTCTTTAAGTTCGTTCTTACATTTATGGATACTATTGCTTTTTTTTTGCTGCTTGTCATGTACAGATGAAACTTGTTATCCCATATTAATCAGCTGACTTTAAGGGTGGATTTGGTATCGAATATTTTGGGCGGCTTTGTATTCTTATAGCAAGAGCTCATCTGAACTTTTTGCTAAAGATTTATTATCCTTCTCAGATATGGAAATTTAGGTTACAGTATTCAATACAAGGAGCATCAGCTTACTGAAAGTGTGGATTTAGTTCCGATTAAACCATTGATTCTTTCGCAAGGAACAGTTTTTAAACTTTGGTAATAGTTTGGGCTGCTTTGTATTTTAAGCTCATCTGAACGGTGTCTCCAAAGAACCGTTTCAGATATGCAAATGTAGGATCCAGCTTCATGTTTTTTTGTTAAAAATGTCAAGAGTTTTAGTTGCCTGTTTTTTTTTAATTGCGAAATCGACTGAAACATGACGCCGCCTTTTTTGGACTTTGCTCAAGAACAATTTGGGCCATAGAGTTCGTTCTTATATCATTGAGTAGAGAATTGGTAATTCGATTCAGTTATAACAACGTACCGCAGTAAATAGGTACTGGTGGATTTCTCACAAAAAGTCACATGAATTACTCACCATTTACCTGTTGGTTGCACAAGTTTGCGCCAAAATTTCATTAAAAAAACGTCTTCTACAGAATGTCAATCTTTCAAGTTTCTACTGGCTTAACTTTGGAAGTTGGACTTTTTAATTGAAGAGTTTGCAGTTGCGTAAAAGCGTTCATTTTCAAATCAACATTTCCGAAGCTCGCCAAATTCAAGATTTCATGTGATTTTAACGGTTTGAAGAAATTTTGATGACATTTAGAGCGCACTCTTATTTACTGAACGCATAACTCTGAACTTGAAGAGTCTTATTCGATTCTGAGTTTTTCGTTATACCTCATCAAGTTTCACTGTGCCGCACTTTGAATTACGGTTAGCAATTAGCCCAGGGGCGGATGAAACCTTTACGAGGGCCGGGACTGAAATTTTAACACTTGAGAAAAAAAGGGTCACCACATTTTAAGGAGGAACATTTTACCAATGGGTGACTGCAAAGCACTGCACCGATGAGTTACTGTGTCGGTGCGTTTAGTTGGCGCAACAAGCTATTTCGGCAACACTGTGCCAACTTCTGAAACTTAACTGAGTTACTGATGCCAAGTGTGAGTCAGGAACTTTTGCACACATTTAACCAATGATTAGAACTACTTTATGAATGGTAATTCAAAAATTTGTCAAGTGTCAGGGACTTAGATTAATTATTAGAGTTGAGGGCTTAGCTGTGCCCCTAGTTTTTTTTAGAGTTAAAGTTGCATATTATTCTGATTTATTTTCCTGACTGCGTGTACTTGTTATGTTATTCCCATCTTTCCTGGGTTTCAGTCAAAATGTGAAGTAAAAATTATGAAATTTGACAACGCAGATATATTAATTAGGGAAACAAATTATCATAAAAGAAGAATCCAAGAAATGATGCAAATAAAAAGACATGCAAAAGCAGTAAATTTCAGATCAGATACCCACAACTTTTCTATTTCAACTATTTCTGCTTATTTCATTACATGCATACGACTCTCGCAAATGTAGAAAATAATTCAGACAAACTCAGGCTTTTCAAGAAGGCAAAGACCTAAAAGGACATTAATTTTTACTAATCATGAGGTAAGTTTTTCCGATGTTTTGCTCTCCCAAAAGGAAGAATTTCTTCCCTCAAAAACTGATGAATGTTTTAACACTTTGTGAGATTTTATACATGTTTTAATTGTGAATGGTGTTTTTAGTTTGTGTAAAATTTTAAATCTGATGATGGCGCTGTTGTCTCTCTGAAAGGTAATGAAATAAACCATGTTTCAAAATTTTTACTTCACATTTTGACTGAAACCCGGGAAAGATAGAAATATCATAAGTTGCATGTTATGATACAAACAGCAATAAAAAATTAAAAATAACAAATAATAAAAGATTATATCTTCAATTTCATGTCTAATAATTAACAAGGACAAGTTTTAAAGAAATTAATCTCTAGGGAATGACGCAGAATTTCGAAAATATCAAACTTAAAATTGACAAAATTACTGAATAGTCAGATTTAAGGCATTATTAGTTACAAAACCAGAGAATTAAACGATGCAAAGTAAAATACTAAAGAAAAATTTTCGAAGACCTTAAAACACTGGGCTAGACAAAGCAGAATGAAAAATACGGTGTTATTTTTTACTTAGAAAAACATACCGCAACATTTAAAAAAATGTTGATACCATGTTTGCAACTTAAATAAAACTGTTTAAAAATTTTGAAATATCGAAGTTTTTTCGATATCTTTTTTCAGAAATTGATAGTAAAGTAATGGAATTTTCAAATAATGTTGGAAACATTTTATGTATCTTTAAAAAAAATATTCGAAAAGTTAAGAAGATTATTGCACCTACCCTAAGTTGGGCACTTTATGCTCAATTTAATGTTGTATGTTTTTTGTAATAGGGTATTTTTAAGGGCGCTCTTTCTTCAATATTTTTTAATTTGGGGTTTGGGTTGGAACAAGCTAAATTTTGATAAGCAAATTTATGAAATTCGTATTTTAAATAAGGCAGTGGATCAAGCTCGACTTGTTAATATCCCATATAAACAAACTTAAATGTTGTCATAGTTTTCCCAGATCGCTGCTGAGAAATCTTTTGAGTCCCAGTCAATTTACAAGTGGAATATTCAGTCCCCGCTGTTTCCTGCTCGATGAACTTGTTCCTTTACGAAAGTCAATTGAAATCCGTTTAGTTAATAGCATTGAATTAATCGGGGAGTGCTCGAATGCCTTTTGATCCGATTGAATTACCCTGCTTATTCCTTTCACCCATGATACACATGTTCGGGAATACGCTCTTGCTTCACATGATAAGAGAGCCGGCCGGCATATCGGAAATTTTCCAAATAGATTAGAAAACCATATTTTGCTGATATTTGATTTATTTCATAGATTTACATATAAAACTATTATTTACTATAACTATCACTCAAACTTGTATAGGTACAAATAAACGCTAGTAGTAATAACCCTGATAAATTGAGAAAATTACTATTAGATAGCGTAATACAAACAGTGCCACTAAAAATAACTTAATGACAAAAATATTTAATTGGTTATTAAAAAGTTCTACCGTGTCTCACAGCCTTCAAGTATATGGTATCAGTTCAACTGTGTAAATGTTGTTTATAAGTAAGTCTGCGCCTATCTAGCATTTGGTTCAGTTCCTAAAAATAGTCTAAACTCTCAGTTTTTTGTAAAGTAATAGCGGTAATATGTTAAAATTATTTACAAAAATCTAGTCTAAAAGTTAATTAATCGGTTTTAACTGGTTTATTTCGTTTTCCTAATATTCTCATCAGGTTTCTCGACATGTAGTAGGGCCTGTCCTTGCCATTGTTTTTCTCCGAGTCTTCCACTACAAGACAAATGTAATTAGCAAAACCTTCAGATTTGCACCGTCCAATGTTGATTTAACTATGCCAGTTATTGAAGAACCGATCATACTTACAGAAGCACAAAAACAGCGTATCAACTGCCATACTGTAGACATTGAAGAACAGTGTGGCAATCAAGTAGGTAGCGATCATAATTGCCACTACCGGAGCCAATCCATATTGGATTTCAGAATTATCTACAAAGCTGATATAATCGGTAACAAAGAACACGTAGGCTATCGCTCCCACACCGAATGTGACCAGCAGTTTGCTCAAGAAGAACAAGAAATCAGTAACCTGGAATCAGAAAATGTGAAGTTTAATGAAGATAAAAATAAGCAGAACATGGCACCAACCTTGTCCAAAACAAAAACTCTCACAATGTTGTTCAGGAGAAGCGTAAAGGCGTCTTTTGCACTAGCGCAAAAGTTTTTGCCATGAATGGCGCACATGATATACGCATTTTTGTTGATAAACTTCAGAAACTTCTCTAGGCACCTACAACCGAAAAATATGTGAGGCAAATTGGTCAACTTTCATTGTCTTGAACATACCAGAAGAAACACTTCAGGCAGCATAAAATAGCTCTGGTAAAAGCATTATCATACTTCTTGAGCTTTTTATCAACGTATTCCAGCATCACTCTTATCATCCGACAAATCGCTATTATCAAAGACCCAAACGCAAGTGTTCCTAAATGATACCTGGGAAGGAAAATTCGCATTTTAATTGCACAGTTAAAACTATTACAGGATTCCGTTTACCTAATCGTTCGATAAATAGCTGCAGTTAATGCGAAAAATGGTAAGTCACGCTTTGGCCTAGTCCAGTACCATTGGGCAAAAACTTGGGCTAATGTCATCTGACCGAAGGCGGATACGAAGAATGCCAGCCAGAAAAAGCCGAATATGTTAATGCCTAAAATCGACAAGACAAATTGAACCAATACAAAAATCCCTAATAATAACAGAAAAATTCTTAATTGAAAAGTCATGGAATGATTATTTTTATCAGCATTTTGGAAAACATAAGAGATTTAAATCGCAATTCACTCAATATGGAATATTTGGTTTTTATTTTTTGCCTTTTGGAATTATGGCATCTTTAGATCATCTATAGAAAATATTTTTCTTATAATACTGCTCGTAAGATAAATGTGCTAATGGCAAGCAGGATTATGCCTTTGACAAAATAATATGTTACCTTGCAAGTAGGAATAATAAGCATCATTTTTGATGCCTATAAAAGAGCAGGTAACACTGCTACATGAACCGCTCGTTGGCAAATTTTTGGGAGAACATACTGTATTTGCCTGAAAAGCCAAAAATGAAAAATTAAATATCATTTTAATGCGGAATAAGTAATTTTAAGGTAAAATAGAAGAAAAATCCTAAAATAATCGTTCGATATGTTAATAGCCTAGTAGTAGATGTTAATAGTGGAATTAATAATCGTTTCCCGGTCTCATTGACACTTTTTCCTTAGCTCGTAAAAGTTTTAAGCAGCTAAAATATCATCAAGTAAATTTAAAATTTCATTAAACATATTCATAGAAATTTATGTTTTAATCTTAAGAACGGTTCAATTTTCAGAAAAACTTCCGAATTGACGGTTGGTTCTTCATCAAATTTTGGTCAATTAATATAAAAGATCTATAAAACTCATACACCTAACAAGTATCTCTAATGGATCACATAAAATTAATGCACCAAATTAATCCTCCAATGAGAAAAAAAAAACATAATAAAAGCCCTAAAAATGTATGTGCGTTTGTTTTAGGTTTTTCCTCCAAATTGTAAAAATGTACAGTATTTGACTGAAAAAACCAAACTGATTTTAAGGCTGTAACGTTTTATTTTACTTACGGTGATTGAGTGATTTGAGTCAGTTTGGCATTCATCTGTTACATTCCCGTACTGATACAACGGTTCTCCTGATGAAGCTAAATAAACACCGGCAATTACTGCGTACGCAATAATTCCTCCTTGTAAAATCCACGGAAATACCGGAAAGAAAAGAACTGATGTTACCGAACTTACAGCCCTGAAAACAGAAAGAACAAATAATTAGATATGGTTCCAATCAGAACATTAGCAAAAGTAATCTGGTGCTCTTGAATTAGAATTCTTCTCTAAGAATATAGAAATATTGATATCATCAACGGCACTGTACCTGCTTCCTTCTTTAATCAAAGCTATCGCCAGAACTATGCGACTTCTCAGGAAAATGAGCACCAGGAGAACAATTCCTAACACGATAGCCACTATGATGAAAAGAGCTAAGAAAATATTCTGTTTTGTATTTGCGCTGGATGATAGCTGATTGTTCGCGTTCTCAGTTTTCCAATATTGCCATGTAGTGTATGAGAAATACGTAGCTAGAAATTAAAAAAGGTGTCATTTACATTATATTCTTCATTATATTTTGTATTATATTATATAAGTAAAAAAGCGGTTTTTGATACACTGTATCAGGTTATTGCGCCTACTCAGCCATTTTCATCGGTTTCGTGATAAACAAGTTCAAAAATGTTAAACAAAAAATCTTACTTGAAACGAACAGTATTTGCCGCATTCAGAAACCTTTAGATGCTTGATTCCATAACCAGCAATTTAAATTTCAAAATGGTGTTAAAAGTCTATATAAAGTTTTTTGAACTCGCATCTAGTAAATGTTTTTTCAGAAATTTAACATTCCTCAATTAAAAAAATGAATATTATCCTAACTCCAAACCAATCAATTCCAAAATGATTAAAATAAAGACATACATTGCCAAAATAAAGAATGAAGCAAAATTATTGAAAAATAGGGAGTGCCGCAAAATAGAATGTTTTACCTGCAGATAAAGCAGCAAGAACTCCCACAATAGAGATCCATACCATTACTCCTGCAATCCATCTAAAGTGACAAATAAAATTTAAGAATTAATAAAGACATAATAATTAAATTGCAGAATTTCAGAAACCGTATTATTGTCTGAGCTTTCTCCAAAAGAACCTTTACTAACCTGAGCATGAAAATATAAATTAAACATATCACCAAAGCAACAGCCAGTCCAATTAGTATTTTCTGCCAAGAATTTACCAAATCATTGATTACTTGCGATGCAAACTAAAAATTAAATAAAGTAAGTAAATGCTTAAAAAAATGTTCTTAATAAGCAACCGCAGACATGCAAACAACATTAAGAAAAGAAGCACTTCAACCCAAAAGTCTACATATCGACGAATAACAATGATGTTTTCACCTGCTTTAATTTGGTGTTTTTTAACTTTTTTGTTTATCTTAGTAGTTGGCAATTATCAAATAATAACTTGTTGTTTGGTATTTTGAATTAAAGCAAAAGTAAGTGGGCAATCCTGAAATAACATGCCTTTTCAAATGACAAATAAATCCGTTTAAGCATGAATAATAGCCAAGTAGTTTATTAAACCAGAGATTAGTAGATCCACTAATATCTGATTAAACGTTACCAGGCTGTCCACATGTACCAAATCCAAACGGAAAAAAGACAGAGTTAAGCAACACAGAAAGTAGAAAACAGAACACAAATATAAAGGAAATAATTGAACCTGTTCAGCTTCAGATAGCAACTTAAGGTTGCTTATGGCCGTGATTATATTGTCACTATTGATATTGGTATCGTTTACGGCGGTTGCAATGTCGCTCAAAACAGTCTCATTAAAAAGAGTTGTTGCAGGAATACATCGCTTCTGAACTGTAAGAACAATCACATCAAATCTAAATTATACATTTTTTGTAGATTTACAAACAAAGTAAGATCGTATCAATGAGAATGTTTGTCAAGTATTCTTCTCAGTAGGGTCATTATGCATTTTCAATTTCTTGAAAAAGGCAAATTTAAACTAAACAGGGCAGAAACGTTTTGATAAGTATGGAATAGAAGAAAGGCAAAAAATGTTACACCAGTTAATAAACTCAAATGTAATTAATAGAATAAAAATTTCAAAAAGAATTTTTAGGGTACAGAATTCACAACAGAAAATCTGTGACTAATAAAACATTAACAGTAAAGATTAATGAAAACCTTGCGTAAATTGTCGTGCCAGATATGAAACGGTCACAATTTTCTATCGTACTGAATTGTGGTTAAGAAATACGACAAACTGCAGAATAAAGTCAGAAAAAAATAATAAGGTCGGTTAGTGAAGGAAGACTTTAAGAAAGCCCATAAAATTAGTCAGCAAAATATTTATCAGTAAATACATACAAAGAAAATGTTTTAGTGCTTTTAAATAATTTACGAGAAAGATAAACTTGTTTTGTCAAAAGGCACTGAGATATTTGAAAGAAGAAATTATCTATTATTACATGGTAAATGTTATCTGTTTAAGCCAAATAAAAAATGGCAGCTGAGAAAAAGGCTTATAAATTACTTTGTTCTATTTACTGGCGGATTTTGCAGTTGAAGATGATAAATGTTTCCATAATAACAAAATCAAATCAAAAGTTTAATCAGGCATAACATTTTGAAACTTGGCAATTTTTACAACAGAAATGTAGGCATGTTTTATATTATTTGCTATATTTATCTTTATTTGTTATAAAATAAATATTGATTTGCTTGTAAATATTTTAAATGTAATCCCTCGGTGTTTAAATCAGCGAGGTCGAACATGTTTAGATACAGTTATTAGCAGCTTTAAATCTAGATATCATAGTTATCACTTTAGTTTCCTTAACGGCGTTGTAGGATTGTGTCATTTTATAAAATACTTTAAATGATATTTGCTTTACTCAAATAGAAAACAGGTTTTAGGAGTTGCAATAAATCACCCCAAAGTTCTGCATATATATAAATAATCTTTATTTCCTACAGAAAAAGGCTATCGACCCAATCGGTCTTTCTACATTTTCATCAATTTACTCTTTCGAATATGGCACTTTAAAGCCAGCAATAAAAAACATTTACGAGAGTAGAAAGGAGCGTTGAAGCAGATTTAGCGACTTTGATTTATTATGAGGCATTTTGGGTAGAATAAAGATGTAGTAACTGTCCAATCAAATCTTCCAATTGTGTAACACACGTTGATTTTAAACTTTTTTCGAAAATTCTAAGCATCAGTCAGCGATTCAATTTGTTAAGTTTCACAAAGGTGATCATACTTTTGCTACTCCTGACTAATATGTTTCAAATTTTGGTAACTAATTTCTACAACCAAAAATGCAAGTGATAAAGACAACAACCTGACACCTTCAATCGTCATAAGTAAGAATATTCTGTCAATTCTAGTACACAACACATTCAGTCTGCATCGATATTTTCCAAATGTATTGGACCAATCCTAACTAGTAGATATTAAAATTTGGTTTTTTTCTAGTTAACATGCATCAGCCATTCACCATTTAAATGAAACTGAAAAAACCTTGTGGATATTTTCGTCGTCCTTAACAATGGTAACTCCATTGTGTACGGCTAAATTGAGCCACATACGCACAGGGTTCAGGTTCTGGTTGAAACGATAAATTTCATCGGTTTGAACGAAAGGCAATTTCCATTGATTGTCCTTTCTATCCACCACATTACTAACGCACCTGTTCAGTACTGAGAAGAAAACATTTTGAGTAATTTATCTATTTATATGTTAACCAGGTCAAGAAAATATATTCGATGGTAAAAGACTGTAAAAGGGCTTTAATCAGTGCAAAAAAACTTACAACTTGTACTAGGTAGAAACCATTTAGGGCACTCATTTTCGTCATATGCGGTTGTTCGGACCTTGTAGTTACAGTAGGGTAGCGCTTGAAAATTATTGCTTCTTGTTTCATAGTAAAAAGTGGCATTCGGACAACTCTCAACACATACCTACATTTTCAAATGTTTTGTTTAAAAAATGTAAAATTTATTTCGATAAGCATTTTAACACTGAACATTTACTAGTTGAAAAACATTTTTTTATTGTAAAAGATAATGGATGCATTGGATTTGAATAAGCCGCGGTTCGTTTCCACGACGGGCTGATAGCCCGAAAAACTCATCCGCAATTTTACTACTGTTTGATAAGGAGTTACACGAATGTAAAAAAAATTTAGTCTCAGTGAAATCCAGGAAAATTCCCAAATAAATAATACAAAAAACCAAATTTATATTATTTTTACCTGTTTCGTGGAACATCCGGTAAACGGAGTGGAAGCAGCTAAACACTCAGTTAAGTCAAAAAAGAAAAGATATTTATAACTTTTTACTTCCTCATCTAAACCGCAACGTAATCCTGAAGAGTCTTTTGGTACAAGCAAAGTATTGGGGTCTCCATTTCGAAAACCTGAAAATTTCAGTTTGATGTTGAAACTCAACAGTGTCAGGGATTAAAATGGATTTTTAAATACGTACCCCATATACCAATCACTGCCCACAATACCACAAAGACTATGAAAATTAGCAAACAAATTACATCAGTGCATGATCGATTTTTTAATGGTCCTTGGTACTCATCTGGATGACCTGCAAAAAGCAACCTTACAAATTATTTTATTACGAACTAATTGCGACAAAGTCAACTTATGAAGGGAATAATGAAAGCAGAAAAAAATTACTCTCGTATTGAAATATTATTCAGCAAAATTCATCCAGGCGATTTGTGCCCAGTCGAGAAACCTAAAGATTAAATAATTTAAATTTATTAATACGTAAAGTACAACAATAAATTCAAATCAACACTAATTGATTAACCCAATTAATAAAACACATTAAAGAAGATGGTGAATATAATGATTACAGATATCATTACCAATTGTTAAACCAATGATGAACAATGAACAATGAAAAATTGTTGAAATCATCAAACATAAAATTATGGATAAATCCTTATAACCTAGGCACTCGTGAGGACATCGAGATCTGCTATAGTTTTCTGGTTCTGATGATTCATAATGGCTTTTGCGATCTTTGCTTGAAACTGGTGAGTTTTTCGAGGTTTTAGGCCATCGTGGAAAATAATTGCTTTCAAACGTTTTGAAAGCACGAGTGGCGTGCACCATCAGAAGTTTCTTCCGCAAGCTTACACTGAACACTTCACATTCATGTGCCTCGTAATTTTAGCACCAGAATTCTAAAGTTTTTTGCCGTTCTCTGATGATTTGCCATGATAAACCGTTTTCTGCATCAAACTCATCATCTAATAATTCTAATGTTAAAAGTTAATCAATATCATTTTAAAACCGACTTTGTAAAGCACATTTCGATCGTTGTTGAGAAAACTCCTTGGCAAGTTTGCTTAATAAAAATATATATGCTTTCTAGGACATTGTTTTTTCATTCCAATGTACACAAACTGTTTCTGTTTACTTCTGTAAGCAACAACCTTTAAGGAAATTGAATAAGAATATTTAATATCTTAATCTTCCCTATATAATAAATCTACCAATTTTCAACAATTTAATTTCTTTTTGTCTAGTCTAAATATACATATTAAACATATATATTTATATCGCATCCAAAACTGTGTAACCTTGTGCGAAACGAATAAACCGAATAATTAAACATTTATTTTCAGACATTGGATGATCGATGTGTGTAAAAGTTTTAGGATAAACATGATAAACTTACTGTCAATAAAACCGTCGGTTTCGTCAAAAAACAAAATATCGGGCATAACTGTAATTAAGCACAAATTATGAGAGTTGTTATTCCATTTCAAGCTCGCAATCGACTAACCGGTATGATGTAACTTGGCAAATTTTACTGCTTTTTATTTGTTTTTCCAGTTACCACTAATTTTCACTTCAACAATTTCCCGTCGCTCTGAACAACTTGATAGTGTCTTTGCTGTTAGAAATATTGAGTTATCAATTTGTGGATTAGCCAATTTTTGATTAACTTCTTGGAAATTCTATTATTAATAGTTTGAGTGGGGTTATCCATCAGACAACGCATTGTATGATAGAGATAAGATATCGCTTTTATCTTATACCAGGACCGAAATTTAATAAATTGTTTATATGTGTGCATCTGAAATGCTATGAAGCTCTTTTGCAAAAACATATTTGTTAATTAGATTAAAAATTATTATGATGATCTTTATAGACTCAGTTCTACTGATTCAAAAATCCTTTAACTTCGGAAACGAAAACAATATTTTAGTTTTCCCGTTTGAATCGTCGGGCTTTTAATAAAACAACTGAATCAGAATTGAATAAATCATGTGGGACTTGTTATTTGGACTAATTTTTTCGCTTGATGCGTTCAGTTATCAAAGAAGCAAATAAAATGGGATTTGAAAAATAATTTAAAATTAATATCATTACTAATCGGTGCAAGAGGTTTTCCCACCGGAACGCGCCGTTGAGAATTCAGGAAAAGTGAAAATATTATATTTTCTTGCGGAAGATTAGTCTTACGTCTCTAATAGCAAGTGTCGACTTCTGCAGCAGACACTCTGTATATGTACTTACAAACGACTTTTCTTCAAACTTCACAACTTAGTAAATTTTATTTTATTAATACTTCTTAACAAATATTTCGTCGACTTAAATTCCCTTATGAAAATGAGGAAGAAAGAAAACGTTACAGTAATGTTAATTTACCACATTAACAAATTTAATTCATCATTGCTAAGCAATGTAAAGGTTTTATCGACTATGTCAATTAGAATTACGAATTACAATTAAAAAAATATATTGAGTTTCTTTCTTGTCTGAAGTCCCGCTTAAAAACATCAAACGCGCCAGCTTAAAGATATAATCTTACATTTATATGACCAGATAATAATAAATAACAAAACTTCCATATTTTTTCGTCGAATCTTATCTTACGCATTCTCATAGGCATAGGAAGTTGTATAACGTATTCATTACTTGTATGTTTTGTAAGTTTATATCCATGTACCGAGATGGAACACAGGAATTATCAGATAAAGCGTGCAAAAAATACAACAACCGTGTCTGTTAAAAAATGCAACGATTTAAACAGGCTAATAACGAAGTTAAAAAGTGCCAAAAATCGTTGATGCAAAAATACAAAAAATTAGATTGAGAATTTTTTTTAAGCAAGTAAAAAATGGCGCAAAAATTGCTAATTTTTTTGACATTTTGTCAAGGATAATTATCTGGATATTTTTCTGAAGCAAAATCTGCATTAAAAACCCTTGCATGTCCGCAGCCTTTCTAAAAAGTATGTGCAAACCTATTTCGCATTTCCAAGTATTTTCCTGCGCTGGGTTTTTCCAAATCTATTTACCGATCACGTTCTTTGAATAAGAACAATGAACTAATAAATAAATAAGTGCGTATTGTCGAAAAATTCCGAAAACGTTCTGAGAACATTTTCCATGCCGCCAACATTGCAAAAATATGTCAGGGTTACACAGTTGATTGTCGAAATTCCAAACTTGTCCTGGTTAACCATAAACAGTTAACTGAGTAATTAAACTGCTACAAAATAATCGTTTAATAAGTTATTTTTAATGACAACAAAATTTGGGAATTGGAAATTGTTAACAATATTAGTTTCAATTCAATTGCAAGCTTTATGCAAATCTACATCTAAAAACGAATTATTCATAACCTACTTAATTTTGAATGCCTGCAAATTTTATCTAATAAAAAACGGAATAGACTTGCATACAAAAATGCAGCTGATTTATTTAATTTCAGTTTCCATTTAAAATATCGGGTGATTTTCATCGGCAAATAATGAGGCTATCTATAAATGTGGGAATTAATCAAGTGTATCCGTTTTTATGTTATATTAAGCTATTAATCCCACTTGTCGCCCATCGAACAATCCATGATCTGTTACATTAATAAATGAGAAGTAAACAGACAAAAATATTGAGATTGAAAACATTTGCTCCGGATTCAGCTAAAAACAAATTAAGCAGCAAAAAACGATTAATTGGGTCATTAACCCAGATTAGCGATGAAAAATGCAAACGGTATTCTTCATAAAACCAAGTAAACACGCCTCAGTGATTCAAGGAAATCACATAAAATTATTTAAAATTATACCACTTTTAATTGCCATGTTCAACTGTCTCAATTACTTTAAACTGTTGCTTCTATTTTGGTTTAGTAAAGAATTACATTAGTTTTTAATATAAAGTTATAATTATAGATTGGCATTACACCGTCCAATCAAGCAACAAATCAATCACCTGGAGCTTGTAAGGAAGATTATTTACATATCCGATTATTAGGATTTTTTCCGGATAAATAACCATAGTTCAATGAGGCAAAACGCCAATCAATCATTTCGTGGTATTTTATATCTAAGCGTTGATTTAATTGTTTAGCAAAACCATACGTTTATGAGGTGAGATTCGATTTTTATTTTAATTAGGCCATTGCAGAAATGAACTATATGAATGTAGTAAGTGACTTACCCTGCTGCCGGTGCTTAGCCATGAGTGCGAAAAGTAAGAGCTTTACCTGGAAAACAGCAAATTCAATGTGAGTTTCACAACAGGCGAGCACAAACAATAAAATTAACACCTTTTGATTAAAGACTAAGTTATCTTATCTGGTACTAATGCAGGGAGATACGATTTATTTGGTAGGCGAATATTGATAATTAATTGCCAATTATTGCAGTAATAAAACTATTCGATACGTTTTATTTACAAAGCTGGATATAAACATTTTCATACTGATGAGTGAATAAGGCTGCTTTTTACTCCTTCATAGCGGAATGTTTAACGTGAAATTCCGTTAAATATAAACGTGGTTTGAAGTGTTTAAAGTACTAACGTTTAGTGCACCTAATTAAATTTACAAAGTGCGTTATCTGATAAGATTGCTTTTATTACTTGATTGCAAGCTTGGTGAGTTATTACTCAAACATTTACGCTGGAGTTTTAGTTTCAATCACTGAGTAGAAAGCGGATTTAAAAATGTTTGTATTCGTTACAAATGTTTCCTTTTCAACCAACTACTCAAAACACATTGATATTTTTTGATAGTTTCTTCGAAAATCAATTAAGGGTGTATTTACAATTCCACCAGCCTGGTACTTAAAATTAATCACCAATATTGAACAAACTGAATCACTAAATCCTTGTTAACACCTTAAGTGGCTTAGACTTAAAGTGTCTTATCACGTAGAGTTATTCAGAGATTATTAGAAAAATTAATTAAAATTGCAAGATTGGTATCTAATTGGGGAATTTTTGAAAAATATTTCGGTGTTGTAAAACGATGCATAACATGTTTGGTATGTGGCCCATAAAATTTTCTAGGCAATAATTCTCACAAAATTTTTAAGAATATTTTTTTTTACGAAATAGGTATTGTTTATCATCAAAAAAGTTTGGCCAGATTTTTGCAATCGCAAGGTATTTATTTAAATTTGCTTTTTTGTATGTCGACACATTTTTCCACAGTCCGGTCCAGACTTTCCTCACTTTAACCGGTGATTTTCTATATTTTGCAGCTTCATCAGTTATAGAAAGTCAATCCACATTACACAGCTTATCAAGTTTCGGTTTATTTTGAAACTATGCTTAGATAAATTTGTGTGTCCTTAATACAAAATTTTGTAAACATCAGCAATATTTGCGTATGATAGTTCGGGAGATGAATCCATGTATTTATTCACTAGACTTTCTTAAAGAAAAAAATATTAAATAACCATAATTTAATTTAAATTTATTAAATGATTTTTGCAATCGGTTGCTGAAAATCACCGAAAATATAGAATAGAACGGTAAACATTAATTCGAAATGTTGTGCTTTACATGTTTTGTGCATTAAAAATTATTTCTCCGACTTTTCCAAAAATTAATATTTTGATTTAAATATTAATTTTTTTTGTATACCTAATTAAAATCAATACTGAACTTACGAAACGCTGATTAATTAGAGCTTATCCTAAGAGCACAAATTTGCAACTGAAGTGGAATATTTATTATAATACATTTTATACATTTATTTTATTTATCCCGCAAAGCTGCCTAATGCTCTGATAATCGTCTAGATAGTCGTTAAGTGTTCAGTACTTATTTAAAACGTATTCCTATCAATTATTGAAAATATAGGGAGTATTTATCAGATAGGATTCTTTAATTTACGTTTAGCAAGATTTTAAAAAATGCACGATTAAGAAAATTGTGTAAGTTTAATTTCTAGTTACCTTAAAGAACACAGCATTTCCCTTGAACAATCGTATGTGTGTAAAAAATTTGGAAAAAGTGTCACTTAAATATTTGGTTTTACCTTGTCGTGCGGTGACGAAGCCGGATCAACAAACCTTTTTGTTTAGTGAACAACTGTTTTAGACAGAGTAGATTGCAGATAAAATAATGATGCAGTCGCTGTTATTTACAGACTTTTGTGAAACAATTATTGTGTTCCCTTTAATGCAAAAAAGCAACATTGCAGGTAAAAGTAACCTTGATGATAAGATACTGTTCTAAGCCACTGCACCTGATAAAAGCTAGCGATGGTTCTTAGAAAGCCCATCGAGATGCACTTTTGAGAGTTGATAAATGAATAGCGAATCTTATTGCGTATTCTTATTGCAAATGAGTCTCCATTATCTGAGCGCTGTTTGCAATTGTCTTCGTTATATCATCTAAATTGCATTGATTTAACAATCATTGTAATATTCACGGCGCATTAGCTAACATTTTCATTAAAAAAGCAACTTACCTTTGAGCTGAATCTAAACAAATCTGAACGCACATAATTAAAAGCAAATTATTGTTCGGCAACAGAAGCAAAACATTATTAATTCGGCCTTAATAATTTACACGTTTCTGGTACTGCAATTGAGTGGAACCTTGACGAACAGTCGTGCAATGGCAATGGTTGAATGTATAACACTAACAGAAAATTCTCCGGTTCGCTACTTTCACTGGGTAGTGATTTGTTAAGCTATTAAACAACCAGGTAGAGCAAGATGCGAATGGAAGGGCACACAGATGGTGCGTACCACCGGCAAAGATTTTATGAGGGGTACCATTGTGGAGGAGCAGTGGGCTTTTGCCCAACACAGCTGACGAGGCCTTTCTTCAGCGGGTGGATTTACATGGCAATCAGCAACTTGAAATGCTATGAGATGAGAGTATAACATAGATTTCTTTTTTATGATCTATCTGTCTTTATCTATGATATATTTAGCGACCAAGAGAGGAAGTGGCTCCAAGGATGGTTGAGGTAAAAAAAAAAACTAGTAAAAATATTTCTTCGAATGTTCGAAAATGCCTAAAATTCGATCTCCTAAAGATGTATCTCAGATGTTAAGTCTATGTATTTTATTTAATCTATGAGACTCAATATTGTCTGAATAAAACAATAAACAACATTAACTGTTGATTCAATCAGTAAACAAATGTTTAATTTTTATTTTTATTAATCCCGAAATTATCTGTTTTCCTTTGATATTAGACTGGACGGAGATTTTATTAAGAATATCTTTTGTATTATCTGTTGGGTTGACTCTTTGGCCGACGGATTAAATTTCAACATTTCTTATAATTACGTAAGTGAGATTTAGAAAATATGCTATAAATTTAATTTTTTGCCAATTATTACACAGTTTTTACAAGTTTTTACTTTAAGCAAAACAGTCCATCATTGGATATTGAATTCACGTTTTTTCATCAATATAAGGTTTTTCCTAAAAAAGCTGTCTTTTGCAAGCGAGAGCTCAAAATGTGTTCTTACGATATTTTAGGTCTTGAAATTGAATTAGTTTATTTTTCAAAATTACGAAAATTTTAGGAGAAAATGTAGAAAAGAATATTTTGCAATTGAAAAATTTAGATTTATTGATAAGGATGATGGAAAAAGGTATGACGAGAAAATTTCCGGTGGTCAAATCGATTATTACATTTATTTTTCCAATTTTATATCCAATATGTTTCTATATTCCATATTAAGTGTTTAATTTGGCATTTCTAGCAATATCTAACGAAGTCGAAACTACTTGTAGCGGGAAGAAGTTAAAAAAATATTTATAATTTGGAATATGTGGAATAAAGAAAAATACAGCAGCAATTTGGGGGATTTAATAAGGTTCCTTCTATATGAAGCACCGTATATTTCTTTTTGTAACTTCGAATTTTTTTTTGTAATTTCTGTTCCTGTTTTTGTCCGAATCATAGACTACATCTTCGTTTTTCTCGAGAAATTGTGAATATTATACCTCTGACCTGCCAGTGAGACCTTTTATAAATTGATTGAAACTAGAAGATTGAACCGAGTATTTTTTTGAGCCAACTTTTTAAACAAAAATAATTCTAAAGCTTTAATTTACATCCTAGTTTTAAAATGCGAATTTCTGCTGCTTTATTTAGAGTAAATCTGAAAAACTTAAAACTAATTTAATCTGTTTAATAAAAAAATCAATAGGCGTTTTGATGTTTTGATGGTTTTTTTGCTGCGTTTATAAGGAAAGCTGTTGAAGCATCAAGAAAAACAAGATGATTTCAAAAATCGAAAGTCTGGAAATAAAAATTATTACTTCATATAAAAGCGGCTCTGAACGTTGTTAAAATAACCGATTATCAATTTTTTATCCATTTCAAATCAAACTCACAAATTACGTAATTTTTTGTACGATTAAAAATTTGCCATAATTTTCCTACCAAATGTGAAAAACATTTCAGAAAAGTGCATCGCTTTCTATGAAAAGTGCATTCAAATGTTACATATTTTTTAAAAAGGCAACTTTACTAACAATGTAGCACTCTTCAATAAATAACCTTAACCGCTATGTGCGTTTTTTCCTAACAAACCTTCATTGTTATAAGGATGCAACCCATCCTTAGATCAATTATTGTTGAGCAATCAAGAGTAAATATTGGCAGTAGAGCATAAGATTTGCTAAAACTGAACAGTTCATATTTCGTCTTACATGAGATAAATCAGCGATTGAAATTGTAATGAGATTGTTCGGCTTTTTTATGTGCAAAATATTATTATTATTAATTGTGAAATAATTCGGAAAGGTGTGGTGTAGCCATATCAACGCTGACCGCAATTTTTGAGAAACTGAATAATAAAATCCATCCAAAAATCGTCAAGTCAAGAACGCATCCACCATTTTACTTCCAACCAACCTCGAATCTAATAAAACACGCACAGTATGAACGCCATCATGACTAATACGATAACGCAATTGCTACAATTTAACATTGTTTAAAGAACAATAAAAATATACCTACCAGTTAAAGTCGCTTGGAAATAAAACGCATCATGGCCACAAACTGCGACCGTCTAAAATAAAACTGAGGCTCTTTGGTAAACACTATAAATAAAAGCTAACATTATATTTCGGTACTGGATCGTGTACCTAATTATCGAGCTTATGAATTAAGCAGATCATTGCCCGAAACTGCCTTCGAACTTATTCACACGAGTCTACCCTCTTTTTCATAGAGCAGAGTGAAAAAATGTCAACGGAAAATAAACGTATCAATAATTTAAAAAATTGTGCAGAAATGCTCAAGGGATTTCTGAACGGTTTTCACTGCAAAAGGCAACTTTTAATGAAAACGCAACCAATAGAAAAAGCTTGGAATATTCATTACTAATTACTTTTGACAATTTTTTTTTTCAAATGGCAAACTTCAAACGGTGGTTTCAAATTCAATGGTTAAAACCAGTTATTACAAGTTCTAAAAACTTCAGATTCCAAGTTTTACATTCGTTTCCTGTTTATTTTTATAATAAGAACTAAAAAAATCGCGTTTTAAATGAGTCATTTTACTTCTAAAAAACCAATTGAAGTTTGGCTTTTTAATAAAAAGTGAAACAGTGAACTAAAAAGATAACGGCGCATTTTTACGACAGTATAATACAAAAAAGTACCTAAAAATTCATTTGTTCCTTTCATATAAAATGCAAGAGAAACAACAACTTTTGCGTGAAAAGCTTTTCACGCATTTTTGAATACGTTTTTGAAAAAAAATGTTTTTGAGCTAAAAATTGTTCGTTTTTTTTTTACCTTTACCTTTTATATAAAATATACATATGCGTTTTTAACTACTACTTTGCATTGTTCTGTCGCGAAAAACTCCTTGTTGAATTCGAGCTGTTTCTCTAAATAAAAAAACCAACAATATTACGAGAAAAACACTCAAATTCAACGAAGAGTTTCTACGAAATAATCATGCAAAAAGCCCTTAAAACGCATTTGTTCAATTCGTATAAAATGGAAGAAAACCGAACAAACTTTTGTCAAAAATCCCCATTATACTTATTAAACCCGTTTTTTTCGAGCAAAATCGTTCGTTTTCTTGCACCATTTTGCCCCAGTTGAACTTTGACTTCTGCTAGAATTAAAAACCGACAAATTTGCGACAAGAAAACATAATTCTAATAAATCCGCCCTTAAAGTTGTGATTTCTTCGGTCAAATTTATTCGTTTAACTTTTTAAGGAAAAAGCCCAAATTCAACTTGTTTTTTTGAGGAACAAAAATCCTTAAAGACTTAAATGTGTCTTTAAGAATGTTATTACATTGGTGGTTATAAAACAGTTAAAATAACGCTATTATCCCTGAAAAAACATAATAAATTTGCTCGAGAAAAAAGAACTTGTTTGTAGCAAACAACGCATTTATCTATTTTATATAAAATGCAACCAAACGAGCAATTTCGCTCGAGAACGTCCCGTTAAATTTAAAGTTTTTGAAACCGAAATTGTTTTGCTGAAAAAACAAGCAAAAGACAAACAAGCAATTTTGCGTTTTCTCTCGAGAATTGTTTGTTATTTTAGCATTTTATATAAAATCTGCAATCTCGTTTTGTAAGTACCGTTTTACATCTTTCTTTGGACAAAAACAGCCGATCAAATTACGATTTTTTCAGCAAATTTCTTCGAGTTCCCACCCTTACAAAAATACGGGTCAAAATTCCAATTTTTTATGGGAAGTTTTCGAGCTCAATTGATTGATTGGCCTGATTGTTTCAGGACTTAGAAGCTCTTCGATTTGCACATTTAGGGTGTTCGAGTCTTTAATAAGGAAAATATCGTCGGTCAAAGACCGTGGCCGCTCAAAAATCTTAAAATGTACCATAAATGGCGATTTTTCCGGAACTGAAGGTTCGCTCGTGTTTTCCAATTAGCCCGTTGCATTCCTCGTTTCCTCGAGATGAAAATGATGTAAAATTCAACACTTTGAGAAACTTGATTTTTTTTCTGTGTATCGTGATAAATAAGATCCGATTTTCTATCATGACTGTTAATTACAGTTTTTTTAGAGCGCCATTTCGACTCAAAAATCATAAATATCAGGCCGTAAAACGACGTTGTAAGGACATCGCTGCATCTTGTACCGAACTTCACGGTATAAGAGATTATAAAAATAAAAGATAAAATAAATTATCAACTCTAGTTAGAAACCTAAGTTAAAATTTTCGCACTATCGAAATGAGAAAAAACGTAAATACTTACCACAACAACCCCATTACTAATGTCAGCTCATGCTGCTCAAATCGATGTAAACATTGAGAACTTAAGCTAACTGACTTTAACATTCAGTTGATATGCCTTCCAGACGTTTCGCTTGCATTTGCGGCAAGCTTTTCTACATGAGATGCGCCATCCAACAAAGAACTGCACTGTTTTTGCTGCTCATGTGCAGGCGGTTCTTGGCTGACAAACCCTGCTATTGGACTAAAGTGGCACAACGACTCTAACTAAAAACGTCTGCTCTGTGGTGTCTTCAAACTGCTCGTTTAAGGCCATTTTTTTAACTCATCTTTCCAGCTAATTTCAGTCTTTTTCAGTAAGTTAAATGTCTCATCATGCTAGATCGATTGCACATTGTGCTGTTCAATCACCAACGAAGCTAAGCTTTCACGTCGTCCATGTCTTGCACAGCACTGTAATTTTATCTGTCACTTTTTACTTTGTTCTATCGTCAATTTTAATTTCAGGGTTATAGACAGTTTAATTTGCAACTTCTTCGCTGTTGTCATGTTTAGTATAGTTACGTGCGCTACAATTCTATTTCTAGTTGATTGACTGGCGTCGTAGTTAGTTTCTCAACCGTCAACAGCTTGACACGAGCTGAAGCATGAAATTTTCGAAAGAAAAGCATTTTGAAACATAACTTAATTAATATAACATAATTATGAAATAGCGCTCAGGACTCGCATCTTCAGACAATGAGGTAATTTCTGTCCTCTTCATCCTCGTCTGTTATTCTCATTTGTTATATCTGCATAGTCGATGAATTTCAGAAGAATCTTGAAGAAATAATGCATGTCTTGATTTGGTAGGACCTCATCACATTTCCGGTAATTTTCGCCTCCCGGTTGCATGTGGCGTGTTGCTGGTCTGTACAACCCAAGTTAGGCCAATTTTAAATTACCCTGTAGTTAAAGAGAACTGATTTTCTCCAAATTTTCTCTCGATTGAAAAATGAGGCAACCGTGTGGCTTTCGCAACTGGAGAAAAGTTAAACCCTTTTAGCCTAACTGTTACCCTTGTGGTTTAAACAAAATGACAGATTTTAAGCGGACCGACGTTTGCAGTTTTACCTAATACCTTTTCAACCCTCCTGTACATATAGACAGACAAAAGAAATCCAGAGTTTACGTGCGTGCTGATGACACTCTTATCGCGAAAACACTTGAACGTAGAACCGACTTCCCAGTAATATAATTATTATTTTTATTCCTCAACTGAGCGCTCAACAATTAGAAAATGTTCGCTAAAATGTCTACCAAACTCATTGGGATTGTTGGGATTTCTTTGATTTTATCCTGTCACGGTTAGTATAGCTTTAACTCTAGTTTCCTTTATTAAGACTGGATTTTAGTCGTAACCGCTAGCATTATGTGTTACAACTGCAGTTCCCCTTCTGATGGTGCTTGTGGCGATCCGTATAAAGGCACTAATATGGTTGAATGTAATGATGGCGAAACATGCATCAAAGTGGTCGGAACATACGGTTAGTATTTCGAAGACAAATCGAATTTCAAGATCTGAACATTTGTTGTTCATATTCTTTCTTTTGTAGAAAATGTAAATATCACATATAGACAGTGCAATCCTGCTGCTTTGACTTGTGAACTTCACGCCAAATACTTGGGCAGTGTTCAATATTGTGAAGAATGTTCTGCCGATCATTGCAACTTTTCATCTAGATTTGAATTGGCATCATTCTTAATAGTCGCTGCATTTTTAACCAGTAATTTGTTTTAAATTGTTATAATTGTTGACTAGAAATTTAATCTTCCTAGAATGATTTTACTTATCTACATCTACACCACTTGATTGCTGACCTATTTAATATCAACAAACAGGTACTCAAGTTGTTTCATTTTCAAACCCAATTATTGCGAAGATATTAAAAGTTGTTACGTGATATTGTTAGAAGATCAAAAAAAAATACATTATGGGGTGTATTCAATTAAAAATTTAACAATTTGCTTTGGTACATTGATTTCATTCATCTATAGCCAAAATTTTTGATACTGGCATTTATGGGCTCACTCTATAAGTGGCTTACAGCTGTCAAAGAGACCTTAAATAAATAAATTTAGCTTTTATATTGCTTCAGGTAATGGATGGTCAGCCAAAAGAATATCAAAATGAAGGGTTTTCCTTTATTTATGAATGATTTATTTTTTAAAGCTCATGGTAGTCACATTTGTGTTGGCAAACTACACGTTTGTAGATGGCTTGGAGAATATTCAAAAGTTCTATTCAAATAGTTTTTTTTACTCAAACTCAACATTTGCTTCGTGAAATTGATGGACCACACAATCGTTCTTCTGTGCTTGATATTGATTGTATAGATTACACTTTACGCGACACTAAGCGACAAATACACTTAGAATTGCATCTTTACAAGATTCTGTTGGCTCAATAACTGAAACCACTTGAACCTCAAAACGTCGCTTGTTTTCAAATTGAGCTGTAGAGCAAATTGAAATTGATCCAGAAATTTGGACAAAAATCATATTTTCGGATGAGGTTGTTTTTGGCTAAATGGTTTTGTGAATAAAATAAATTGTAATTTTTTGTGGGAGATTAATATACAACAGATTCCGTCCACAAAAGAAACTTTTGCATCCAGAAAAAGTTACTCTTTGGTGTAGTTTCATCATTGATGCGCGCTATTGATCGATGTCATCAGATTTTTCATGGCTACAATCACAATTGTACGAACTTGATTTGGAAAATTTGTAGTTTCTTCAAGATGGAGTTGATAAGAACTCACATTATTGAAAGAAAAATTTGATCAATCAAAAATCTCCAGAAGCACAACTGTTGATTTGCCTCCAAGAATTTGTGATTGAACACCAGTAGGACTTAATTTTTATTTATTTTTTTGATATACTTTAGTTTGTTAGTCTATGAGAGGAAATCTTGAACTATTTACTGCTTCAATATTATTGCCAATTGCATTGCTGAAACTAGAGCTGATTTATTAGAGACTGTCATCGAAAATTGGCGTCATTGAATCCACTCCTTTGGTCGAAGCAAATGTGAACATTTGAATGATACTCAGAACTCAAATTATGTATAATGATTACTGGCAGAACTTGCACTTAAATAAAATAAAAAAGTATTACATTTATCTTAAATACTCGTATCTTAATAACTTTTAACTGTGAATATTTTCTCGGTCCCAGATGCGATTTGAATAATTTTTAATCAAGTCACAGCTTGATTTAAATAATACAACTATTCTAGCAACTATTCACAGCACAACTATTCTAGGGCAAAATTTCAGATATAAAATAAGCGAAAAATATGAAATGAGCATATTGTACAGGGTGTTTAAATACTGTAGCGTTTTCTTGGTTAATTTCCGGGCACATTTTTTACGCTAAATTTACTATTCTTTGTTTATTTGCGAAGAGAATGCCGGGCAACAATTTCTCTGCTTATTTTGTCACTCCGTGATTTGTCAATTAAGTTGTTAAAGCGTTAGTTTTTCTCAAGATAAGGCTTTCTTGTTTTTCTTCCTTAAAATATTGTTTTACGTTTTATTTCTTCAATTTCATACGTAACAAAATAAACAGAAGCTGACAGCGATGAGCTTGTAGTAAAAACTTGTTTGTACAGTCTTTTTCGAATAAACAAAAACGAATTAATTTAGGAACATAGGGCTATAACACCGTATACTTTTTGCTGAGCTGTGATATTGCTCGTAGACCGATTCACACTTTGATCATGAAAACATGACACTATTTAAACACCCCGTAAGGTATGTTTATTACCAATTATTTATTAAGAATAAAGCTATTATTCGATGAAAAAATTGTTCAAGTCGGATGTCCGATTGAGGAACTATTCACGGTCGAAAATTAGGGAATATTTAAGCTGTTCGCCATGTAGCGTTGAATTTGCGACTTTGAAAACCTCCAATATTTCCTGGATAAATTTATTAGTTTGTCGCTGATTTTCAACCATTTTCCTCAGTCAACTCTATGTGATAAAAAAGACATATTTACATACATCTGATCTTTTAAATCCTTCTACGTCATTGGCACGAAACGAAAAAAAGTTAAACACATTTGAAGAGGAAACCGGTTGGCGTAAAATTGAAAACAAGTTTCGTGTTTTCGCTCTCGTGGGATTCGCAATTAGCAATTCAAATTTGCTTGACATGAATTTGATTTCGTATGTTAATTTCGAAAAAAATACTCCGTCAGCATCAGCAAAGATAAAAGCTCTGAGATACTTAATTATTTCATTAGTTTTGCTGTTATGGATTATTGTATCGCTCACTAGGATCATTGACCTAAAATAAAACTACTTGCAAATAAAGGTCTTATATTTGGTTTATTAATCAATTAATGAATATTCAACAGTTGGGCGACACAAAATTAAATATACTTTTCAATGGATGGAATCAGCTCAAGGGGATCTTTCTTGGGAACATCTCGTTCGACAACCTGAAGTACAACAAAAAAAATGGAAAACTGATTCATTTTTTATTATCCACTCACCTGTCCGTCTTTGTCAACAATAAACTTGGTAAAGTTCCATTCGATGCTGCTGTCTGTTGCATTCGTGCCTGGTTGTTTCAATTTTAAGAATTTGTATAACGGAATGGCATTATCGCCATTTACATCAACTTTGGAGAACACATCAAATTTCACTCCATGCTTTTGGGTGAACTCTTCGATTTCCTTATCAGTTCCCGGCTCTTGCTGCAGGAATTGGTTACTTGGGAAAGCTGCATAAAGGTTTTATGTTCAAAGTCAGTGGAACGTAAAATCAGAAACAGAACTACTCGCCTAAAATTCTCAATCCTTTGCCTTCATATTTCTCATAAAGTTCATTGAGCTGTTTGTAGTTCCTCTCGGTCAATCCGCAGTTAGAAGCCACATTGACAATGAGTAGAACATTTCCTTTGTATTTCTCAAGAGGCACTTCTTTGCCATGAATATCAATGGCACTGAAATCATATACGGATTGGGCTTTGGTGTAATCCTCAGGATTACCTGCCGAAACGCAGAAAATCAAAGCGACAATCGCTGATAATGTAATTGCAAATTTCATGGTTGGATATTGGTATCTGAAAAAAATTACAACAATAGAAAACTGTGATTAATCTAAACTTATCGTTTAATGAGTCAAGTCATTGTGCTTGTTGCACAATAATTAACTTCACGGTTTCGCAAATTGAATTTTGTTGTTTTCAAGCTTGGATTATACAATAACTGAACTGCACATTAAATGCAACTAATGGTATTTACAGTCATAATGAACGTTTTCAGATTATTTCTTGTTAATAAATTGCGTCTTGTGAAAGAAAAATGATTGATTGACCACTTTTACCTCACGTTTTCGCAGTTATAAACTTCATAAATTGGATTTTATGTTTCTAATTCTTGAAAAATTATTATTCGACGTTTATTGTTGCTCAAATTCTTATTAAAATACGTTAATTTATACCAAATTATTTTGCTGTATATTGAATTCGAATATTCATTTTTCCTAAAGTAATGAAATATCAGGAGAAAGACTTTCTGGGTTTTTTTATTAAGTTTCATAAAATGAATAATTAATATGTTTTGTTATAATTTTAGAAATACAGGGTGTGGAGTCAATTAACAATCAGCGCCCATAAAAATTATTTTGATTTAATCTGAATTTTTACAGTTTTTCCAGCGTTCACTTTTGTAATAACTGATTTACCGCAACACAAAAATCGTGACGCTTTGACTCACCCCGAGCAAGTCATAAAGTTTAAATAATATTTGATTTTTTCACTCATCATAGTATTATTGTATTTTTCGTCGAATTTTCAAGGATAACCAGTAACTTATGAGTAATCAATCGATTTATGACAAGAAATATGCATTTTTGGTCATTGCAAAAACAGGTTTTTTTTTTGACACTGAAAACGTCAACAAAAAAAATTGTTTTACTACAGTTTAAATGCCCGAAAAAATTATGAGTTATAGGTATTTTAATACATTTTTGAAAAATTCAATTCAAATTTTTGAACTCTAAAATAGCTTTTTGCCGATTGTATAACACAAACATATTAAAAAATTTAAAAAATTTAAATTTTGGAAATCACCTATTATCACAAACAAAGCAAATACAAATTCCTTATCACATCCACTGATTAAAATTAAATAGAAATAATATTTCTTGCATATTCAGTTATTTACAGCAACCAAACTTTTGATTTCATTAATCAAATGTAAAAATAAAGTAAAAATGGCAAAGTATTTACAACATTTCCTATCAAAATCATCGTAAATATGTTCTTATAAACTCAGAATTAATGGCAAAATCAATTGAAAGCATCTGACCTCACATTCAGTAAATAAATATCACAATGAAAAAACGTTCTTGAACTTACCTTTGATGAGAAGATCACGCTGCTCGAAGGCAAAACCGCACACTAAAAGTCTGCAGGTGCTAAGTCAGGTAATATAGCAGTCCTTGGCAATGAAATCGAAAAAATAAGATAATTATCGGACGTGCCTCGTCGTTCTGACCTGTACAAGTGGAGAAGAAGATAAACACAAATGTGGTTAATTAAAATGCCGGACGGATGTTTTATCCTGGAATTTGTTTAATGGTCTTCCAAATCATCTTTGATAACTCCACACACAAAATATCAGCAAAAATTGTCATTAAAATGTAATTAGGCTGATTTTAAAGTGTGTTTTAATGAGAGGAATTCTAGCTGAAAAATATGAATGATTCTTCAGAACACATTAAAATTGTAATAAGATTTCATCTCTACAAGGGAGCAAACTTTGTTCCTTTACAACGCCTTGCGTGTATTTCTATCGTTCTTCTAACTGTTGATTTAACATTGGTTATGTCTTATCGTTGCGTCGTTAACTCAGAGTATTTTTTGAAGATGAATCTTTTATTTAATACTCAAACATTTAGGTTTGTATATTTATTAGAGTTCTTCTTTTTTCGCCTTCTGAAGAGTTTCAAAGTGGCATTAGAAATGCGGATATAGTTAGGTCAAACTCGAACCTTCGCATTTTGGTGCGGTTATTTTCATATTAAGAGTTTGGAAAACAACATTTGAAAGAAAAATTAAGATTTTGATATGTTTAATATTAGTCTGCTCTCTAATAAAATCGACAAAGTTTCTGTTTTGAAAACGACTGCAAATAGCTGATTAGTCGGGACAATAATTTTGCGGTGGGAAATAAACCTACCAATTTTGGATTTTTGCCTCTTAAGGTGACCCCAAAAGTTTACATAATTAATAAAAACGAAAATGATGTTTCTAATGTAGATACATATTAGCCGTCTAGAAAACCAAATTTGTGTACAAAAAAATTAGTCACAATGCTTCTAAGAAAATCCGCGACATAGAAACGATTATTGTCTAATCAGGTTTTATAAAAAATAGTAGAAGCTTTTTTGTCCTACTTTCTACTAATTTATCTAACGTTGGAGTATATAAATCAACAATAAAATCTGTTAATGCTATATATTTAAACCTATAGTGTAAAAGCAAACGTTGATTGTACGGCCATCAAAACTGGACACCGAGAAACGCCTCTATTTTGCCTCATCCTAAAAACATTTAATGACTACACACCTAATCTAATTGCAAACTAGTTAGCGTAGATTTGGGGGTTTGGAAATTATGGTTTAGGTGTTTCTAAAATATTAAAATAAACCTGCCGATATCAGTTTCTCTGCGTCCTTTTCACACGACTGTTTTGATGTTCAAATAGATTCAGTATGAATTAGGTTTCCTCCAGTGGCAGACCAGAAGCTTCTTCATTTGTTTGCACCACAGCAACCGCTTGAATTTTAGTAAGCGATTCACAGCAAGTAAACAATATTTGCATATTGGAATTCGTTACATCGGAGGAAATAATTGACGAGTTTTCAAAAGTTGTTTATCTATCAACTAAATTTGCAAATAATCCGAAAGCGATTGGTTTTGTCACGTTGGTCCAGACCAGCAACACTTTCCGGGTGTTAAAAAACCACGTTGCGCCGCTATAAAAGTGATAACAAACAAGTAGGGCTGTTTTGTTAGTAATTGAATGTTTAATTAAAAATACCTGTGTTTTTTTGAAGTTCAATTAAGGAACCAAGAATAATAAAAAGCTCTGCTTTCTGTCTGCTCTAGCTTAAAATGTGTGTATTCATGAGATAAAAAGTTCACATCTGAAACACTTCTAAATAAAGTTTATTTCATCATATTTTTTTTTTATTATTGTCATGGTATTAACAGCTTTTACCACAACATCGTCACCAACCCTGAACAATGTTTAAGTTACTTTACTTTCACTAAAAAATTAATTTTCATTTTAAAATTCGTTTAGTTCTAGTTTCCAAATGAAAATATTAAACCCAAGATGGATTATTTCACATTAGTCTTCATTAATTAACTTAATTTCATAGCCTTGAGTTGCAATCCGAGTCTGTTAGCCGAGTAAACAATTTTACTTTTATACGTACATAGGAAAGGGATTTTCAGCCAAGTAGCAAACTTCTTGTCAACAAGATTATTAACTTAAGCAAGGTAGACGCACTGCGTAATAAATAATTCAATCTGTGTAATGTAGATTAACATATTCTAGCCTTTGCATGTGGTTTTGTGGTGCATTTAATAATAACTTCGTTTTTTTCCAGAGATGAAAAACGACTTTTTTGGCTTCTGTATTCCTTTGGCGAGATTCATATACATAATGCCCGATAAAACTTCCCAAAACGTGTATGGATGGCGCAATAAATTATGGGCCGTGTTCATGTACGGATTGGCAGTATTTTGCCATTTGACGGAAATAATTAAACTTTTCCAAATTGTAACTGCCAAGTATTTTTTACTTGGGGAATTCATACGAAACTTCGTTATCACTTCTTTGCACTTTACTTCACTTGGTAAAGCTATGTTTATTGGCGGTAAGAACTAGTTTAAAATAATTGAAGCTTTGTGGACCTACTGTGTCTTCTAGGCAAAACTGGCAAAAAGGCATTTGAAAAAATCCTGGATTTTGAAAAACATGTCTATAAGAATCTCGGCGATGACATTCGTCTAATTTATAAAAACAAAGTCACTTCAATTCAGAAGGTGAAAAAGTACTACTTGATTGGGATCATACTGGTAGTGATTTTTTATGTTGCAGCTCCCATATTTAGAGGTAAGAGAATTCACAAAAAATATAATCTTTAATTTTTCAAAGGCGGTTTATAAAAACTTGAATTTCTGAACGTATTGATCCGAAGATCAGAATCTCATCAGAAGAAAGTTGGAAGGCGTTATTTAAAAAAAATATTTTTAAAGCCGAGACAGGACTATTTCTGGAAATAAAATTCCGTTTCTAATAGTAGATTTACTGCAATTTTGTCCACTTCTATTCCAATTCAATTTTTAATATCAAATTAATTTTAGAACCAATTCATATTCAAGATGGAAACCAAACAATTCGATTTCGGCAAGTTCCTTTATCTTCTTGGTCTCCTTTTGAGCAATACTATTGGTTAACTTTCATATGGACAGGACTAACTGGTATTTATTTGAGTATCTTTTTTGTTACCACCGATTTGATTTGCTACAGGTACGAATAATAACTTCTGAAATTTGTGTCTTTGAATTGCAAAAAATGTCTGTCATTTTTTTTCTCTATTGGTTTTATCTGCTTCAGTTTCATTGATTTTGGGGTATGTCAACTGGAAATTCTTCAGTACAATATTCGCAATTTTAACAGAGATTGTGAAGAAATTACGCGGGTTGAAAAATGCTGCAAAATCAAATCTGCTAGAGTTTTGCAAAAAAAATTGATCAGAATGCATCAAGATGTTATTAGGTATATTCATGTTGTGTAAAAATGTGATATTTTTCACTCGTTTGTTACAATTAAATGTTTTTTATACTGCAATAGTTTATGTTCGACTTAAATTTTAGTTATGTACAAATGATTAACGAGGGCATGAAGAACCTGATGGTTTTGGATTTTTTGCCCGGTTCAGTACAGCTGGCTGGCATGATTTATCAGATGATGGTAAATGGTTTTAAATATTGCACACTTTTTAATTTTTTTCTGGAACATAGCCAATTCTTACTTTTCCTTAGTTATTAATAGATGTAGCAAATAGGTTTTGCCACTTCTACTATGTATATGATAATTTTTACTTCTATAAGTATTTTTTAGTTTATTACTGAACCCACCGATTGAAGTTTGCCAAGCTTTTGAAAATCCAAAAAACTCAGTCAAAGTAACGAAAAAAAGGTTTAGAAATTTTGAACCTGTAACATTTTCGATACACAATAGCTTAAATTTGAGATTGATTTTTTGTCAATTTGAATGTCCACAAAATCTCTCTTTGATTTATTCAAGTATTGTTCTCCTTTTTGAAGCAAACTCACTAAAATGTTGCAAACTTTGACTAAAAATCCACATTTAGCATGAAATTTTAACTTTTTCTTCAGTCTGTTTTGTGGCATATACAGGGTGTGTAGTGCGAGAGAGACAATTATTTCCGTTGGTGTTGAACTTTCAAAAAATAGTTTTATATAAAAGTTGTTGACGCACAAAGTGCGCACATTTGTAAAATATTTTATATGAAACAGAGTGTCTCAGAAAAGCGAGGCAAGATCAAAGTGGATTTTTTAAATAGATCTTCCCATTTTTCATTAGCTCATGGAATGAAGCTTGAAACACTGCATATGCACCGTAAATTGTTTTGTCTTTTTTGCGCCGTTGGCAGATTAGCGCCATTTTAGTAACATTTTGCTTAAAAACGTGGTATCTAAAAATTCATTGTAGAAGCAAAAAAAGCAGTTAAAGATACAAAAAAATACGTTTTTCCAATCACCACAGATCCGTTAAGAATTCTATTGCGCCAAAATTTCAATACATTGTACGGGGTGTTAACAATGTGGACTTTAATCTAAAACTTTTTAACGCAATATATCTTTTGTTTTTCAAATAGAAGTGCCTGTATATTAATACGTCACTAGAGACAATTTACAAAGTTACAAATTCGCATTTACACTTTGAGCTGTAAACCGTTTTCAAATTTATAATTTATTTTATTTCAAAATTTTAAAAAGTTGTTACATTTTGTAAGGTGGCTATGGAGTACAATAAATAAATGTGCGCACTTTGTGCGTGGATAACTTTTGTATGAAACTACTTTTCGAAAGTTCAGCACCATCGGAAATAATGGGCTCTCTCGCACTAAAAATCCACCCTGTATGGAAGATAATATTTATTGACTAAACTATTAACGCTAAATTAGAACGTGTAAATTAGACGTGCAACGGATATAATTTTTAGCAAAACATTTTTACTTTCTGCTTATAACTTTCTATCATCTGCTTGAACATTCACATAAAGTGCTTTACAGATACTGCATTAAAGCTCATCTTTATAAAATGGACAAGATCAATGATGGTTCTAAAACTTGCAAATTGCACAGATTTTTCATAAATATTGAGCCAATTGCTTCACTCGCCTTCATTTTTTTAAATTCGTCAACAATAATGATAAATTAGTGACAAAGTCGAGATCTTGCAACCACAAAATTCTGATTCTCTTAAATGGATGAGTTTGATATTCTGCTATTTCAGACCAACTTAAGCGTAATCCAATGCATCCTCCTCGGTCAATTTATCTGCAGCTTGATAGCCAGAGTTTTCATCTACTCCAACAGCGCCAACAACTTAAGCCAGCTCAGTAAGCAACTAGCAGTTGATTGGTTTGAAATCGATTGGACCGAGCTGCCCAAAGACGTGACCAACAACTTAAATTTTTGCATTATGCGCTCACAGAAGAATCTTCAAATTACTGTTGGAGATCTCAGCGTCATTACTATGGAAAGCTTCCTAACAGTACGTTGCGGGAATTTAATGTTTACAGCTGAAAACAGAGGAGATTTTTTTGCAGATATTGAAAGGGACTTATTCCTATCTGATGCTGTTAATGACGATCTGAGGCATGTTTAAACCTTCTGTTTTCTTAGTAAGTATCTTGCCTGCGTATTGCAAGATACTAGATTAAACATATATGAGACGCTAGCATTGGAAAATTGTTTTGCTATTTTAAAATAAATCAACTTGCAATGAAGCTGGAAAGTTTCATTCAATTTTTATTTTTGAACAAAGCGGGAAAATAGAAATAAGTTATAAACAAATCAAAACAAAATTTTAGACCATCAGTTTTTGGAATGGAAAATAAACTCTCTGAACGAACAACAGAAAATTATCTTATGAAATACAATGAATAAATAAACGGAACCTTTGATTGTTAAATAGAGAGTTTTCTAGTTCAATTAATATGTTGCTTAATAAGTAAAATAACTACCAAAGAAAACACAAAGATATTAGCATTAAAATTACTCACAATTCTTAACCATTTTTATGCGTGCTTTCATTTAAAAATGCCTTTGACGTAGAAACAAAATATATTTAGATTAAGGAAACTTAGCTTTCTTCTCACTATAGATTGATCTATAGCGCAGGTTCCAATATAGTGCGGGAACGATTCGTGAGTTTGCGCCACTAAAATATTTAATTCTTTCACATTTGATGATTGCAATCAGTAAAGAAAAGAATAAAGTTGATTGCACTTATGCATATAAAAAGTGTGCCTACTGCAAAAAAACTGAACGATTCTTGAAACACGATGGTATAATGAAGGAGAAAAATAACTTATTATTTATCAAAATCAGACATAAAAATGATCGGAAATAGGTGGTAGATCTAAGTAGGATTGAAATATCTGGCCAAACCTAGATCATCTTTTTGAAACAACATATAAATATTCTAGAAGGTTGCACAACTTCTAAATCTATAGAGGATAATTTTAACAAATCTCTGCCTTTTTTTCTATATATGTAATTATATATGAGGAACTTCAATATTTGTCACTGGGTATATACATTTTATGAATGTATTAATAGATGATTGTAGGTTGAGTATATTTGGATAATATGGCTAATTTCAGTTTGTGCTGACGGACGGCAAATTACGCTTATTTCTGGTTCTTCCCAAGCCGTTCTCTCAACAGCCTCAAAATAAATTGAAAAATATTAAGGAAAACACCACAATCAAAATAAATAGGTGTTTCTCGCCCCAATCAACGCATAAATCACTAAATATTTTAATATTTTTCCGCAATTTTCCTCCATATACCATGTGTCTAATTGCAAAGTATCTCACGTAAATAGGGATTTGAAATTATAGTATGAATGTATAATACTAAAATATTGAGTGATAGTCACATGTCCTTCTACCTTCTGCCTCTCCCTCTTCTCCTCCTCTGTTTCCATATCCAGGTAGATTCCTGGCAACCAATCAGAATCCACCAAGAGCTATTAACAGGGCTGGATTTAAATTTTCATTTTCTATTCTAATTTTCAAAGTCGATTTTCCATAATCCCTGCTCAAAGTCTTGGAGTTGTGTGAAGAAGTGCAGTTGGGTTRCTGTTGGAGAAGCAGTTCCAGTTAAAGTTTGCTGAGTGGAAAAACAGGCAAGTCCAGCACATAGCAATATCCATTATTAGTTTATTGACAATGTTYTATCATTTGGGACGCAAAATCCATTTGCAAATTTTTAGAATCAACAATAGGAGAAATGAGGTTTGAAATTCGGTTATGTTAATCTTTGTTTAATTAAAGTTGCTCCTGCATTACTTGACTACGCACCAGCTGAAAATAGCAACATTTCGATAATTTTTACTCTGTAATTCCAAGTTTATGACTTACATTAACCTACTATTAAGAAAATATTTATATA